CTGAATAAGTACTTTCTGTCTGTCTTCACAGTGGAAGACACCAGTCATATCCCAAAAGTTCAAGTGAGTAGGGGCAGAGGTCAGTATGGTGGCCATCACCAAGGAGAAGGTGCTAGAAAAACTGAAAGGTCTGAAGGTGGATAAATCATCTGGACGGAGGGACTATACCCCAGAGTTCTGAAGGAGATAGCCAAAGAGATAATGGAGGCTTCAGTGGTGATCTTTCAGGAATCACTGGAGTCAGGGACAGTTCTAGAGGACTGGAAAATCGCTAATGTAGCCCCCATGTTTAAGAAGGGAGTAAGGCAAAAGATGGAAAATTACAGGCCAATTAGCCTGACCTCAGTCATTGGTACGATTTTGGAGTCCATTGTGAAGGATGAGATTTCTTAATACTCGAAAGTGCATGGTAAAATAGGGCAAAGTCAGCATGGTTTCATCAAGGGGAGGTAATGTGTGACATCTGTTAGAATTCTTTGAGGAAGTAATGAGCAGGTTAGACCAAGGAGAGCCAATGGATGTCATCTACTTAGACTTCCAGAAGGCCTTTGACAAGGTGCTGCACAGGAGGCTGCTCAGTAAGATAAGAGCCCATGGTGTTAGAGGCAAGGTACCACATCCATTGATAGAAGATTGGCTGTCTGGCAGGAAGCAGAGAGTGGGGATAAGAGGGTCCTTCTCATGATGGCAGCCGGTGACTAGTGTTCCAGAAGGGTCAGTGTTGGAACCACAACTTTTCACTTTATACATTAATGATCTAGATGAGGGAACTGAGGGCATTCTGGCTAAATTTGCAGAGAATACAAAGATAGCTGGAGGTACAGGTAATGTATTGAGAAGGTGGGGAGGTTGCAGAAGGATTCAGATAGGTTAGGAGAGTAGGTAAAGTGGCAGATGGAATACAACGTGGGAAAGTATGAGGTCAAGCACTTTGGTAGGAAGAATCGAGGCAAAGACTATTTTCTAAATGAAGAGAAAATTCAGAAATCTGAAGTGCAAAGGGACTTGGGAGTTCTAGTCCAGGATTCTCTTAAGGTAAACTTGCAGGTTGAATCGGTAGTTAGGAAGGCAAATACAATGTTGGCATTTATTTCAAAGGTCTAGGATATTAAGCAGGGATGTACTTCTGAGGCTTTATTAAGCTCTGGTTAGACCACATTTGGAGTATTGTGAGCAATTTTGGGCCCCATACCTCAGGAAGGATGTACTGACCCTGGAGTGGGTCCAGAGGAGGTTCACCAGAACAATCCCAGGAATGAAGAATGTTTGAGCATTCTGGGTCTATACTTGACGGAGTTTAGAAGGATAAGGCGGGGGGGGGAATCTAATTGAAACTTACAGAATACTAAATGGCCTGGACAGAGTGGACATTGGGAAGATGCTTCCATTGGCAGGAGAGACTAGGACCCAAGGGTACAGCATTAGAGGAAAGGGAGGACCCTTTAGAACAGAGATAACTTCTTCAGCCAGAGAGTGGTGAATCTATGGAATTCATTACCACAGAAGGCTGTGGAGGCCAGGGCATTGAGTATATTCAAGACAGAGATAGATAGGTTCTAGATAAAGGGTTTAAGGGAGAAAGCAGGAGAATGGGGTTGAGAAACTTATCAGCCATGATTGAGTAGTGGAGCAGACTTGATGGGCTGAATGGCCTAATTTCTGCTCTTATGTCTTATGGTCTTATGGCATCGTGGCACCGCAGTGGTGCAAGAAGGCACTCACCACCACCTTCTCAGGGACAACTAGAGGCGGACAATAAATGCTGGTCCAGCGAGTGATGCCCACGTTCCACAAGTGAATTTAAAAAGACTTTGAAACAGTCTCTTCCAATAGTATTAAATGTATTGTGACTTGTACTTCTTCTGGATTGCTCAACAAACCCATTACTATTGCATAGTTCTGGATTGCTCAACAAACCCGTAACTATTGCATAGTTCTGGATTGCTCAACAAACCCGTAATTATTGCATAGTTCTGCCACTGTTTCCGATTTTGCCTTATAGCTCCAATGATTTTAACAGGAGCTGATGGGTTAAAGCTGCAGCAAGTTTCTCTTTAACAGTTTTTGCAGTGCAATCTTTGTCTTTTATTTTCTTTTTCAGTGGTAGCTCACAGCTCTGCAGTTGTGCTTTTTATTTTGTCTCCAGACACTAACCACTTCTTGCAATATGTTTAGAGTGTACAACACAGCAGTCTGTTCAACGTGAGGCCTTTATTGAAACAAAGCTTAAGATGTGTGCCTACAGGGTGTGTGCCTCATGGTAGAGGTTATATTCCTAGCACAGACTAGAACAGAGATTTGTGCATGGTTGCATTTCATTCTAAACACTAAGCCAGTAAGTTGCCGTTGTTCTAACTACCAGAAAGAAAAATGTCCAGAAACAGAAAGTTCTGTATAAAGACAGCAGATCTGGCAAAATCCGTAGAGACAGAAACACAGTTAACAATTCAAAGTGTCATTGAGTACATCATACAATGCGGAGAGAGGCCCTTTGGCCTATCATTTCTGCACCAGACATCAAACATCCACTTTCTCTAATCTCATTTTCCAGCCTGCAGCCTTTTGTGCTGCAGTGTTTCAAACGCTCACCTAAATACTTCTTAAATGTCTTGAGGTTACCTGTCTCTATCATCCTTTTAGGCAGTGAGTTTCAATCACCCTCTTGATGAAAGAATATCCTCCAATCGCCTCTAAACCTCTTACTCCTTCCTTTAAAACTGTACACCACACTTTATTGATCATTCTACAAAGGAGAAAAGTTTCTCCCTAACTACTCTGTCTGTGCCCCTCATAATTTTGTACACCTTGGGAACACCGTCATCTCCAACTCAATCACCATCCTGACTTGGAAATATATCGCCATTACTTCATTGTCGCAGAGTCAAAATCCTGGAATTCCCTTCCTAATAGCATTGTGGGTCAACCCACAGAAGGAGGACTGCAGCGGTTCAAAAAGGTAGCTCACCACCACCTTCTCAAGGGCAACTAGGGATGGGCAAGAAATGCTGGCCAGCCAGCGACGCTCACATCCCACAAATGAATTTAAAAAACCCTTAAAGCTTCCATCAGCCTCCTCTGCTCTAAGGAAAACAACTTCAGCAAATATATCCTTTTCAGCTCACCATCTTCAAAGTGGGTTTTGGTTGAGCCTACAGGGAAGACAAGTTTGTTGTTGAGGCACCAGAGAAAGTCAAGTTGTTATTTTTGATGAGACATGAGAAATCAAGTTGTTAAGTTTTCAGAAGAATCAAGTTGATGAGACACTAGATAAATCAATTTTTTGCTGAAGAGACAGGAGGTAAATCTAGTTGTTATTGTTTACGATATACCAGAAGAGTCAAGTTGTTATACAGTCATACAATATGGAAACAGGCCTTTCAGCCCAAACTGGTCCATGCTGACCATGGTGCCTACCCAACTAGCTCCAAATGCTCACATTTGGTCCATAACCCTCTAAACCCTTCCCATCCGTGTACTATTCAAATGCTTTTTAAATGTTGCTATCATATCTGCCTCAACCACTTTCTCTGGCAGCCCATTCCATATATGCACCGCTCTCTGCGTGAAGAAGTTGCTCCTCAGGTCCTTCTTAAATCTTTCCCTTCTCACGTTAAACCTATGCCATCTAGTTTTCAATTCCCCATCCCTGGGAAAAAAAACAAAGAGTATGTCTATGCCCCTCATGATTTTATTTACCTCAAAAAGGTCACCCCTCATTCTCCTACATTTCAAGAAATAAAGTCCTTTCCTGGCCAACCTCTCCCTATAACTCAGGCCTCCTAGTCCTGGCAACATCCTCATAAATCTTCTTTGCACATTTTCCAGTTTAACTATGGCTTTCCTATAAAAGGATGACCAAAACTGTGCACAATACTCCCAGTGCAGCCGCAACAACGACTTATGCAACTGTAACATAACATCCCAACTCCTATACTCAATACCTCAAATAATGAAGGCCAGCATGCTAAATGCCTTCTTCACCAACCTGTCCACCTGTGACACAATTTTCAATGAACTATGAACTTGTACTCCTAGGTCCCTCTGTTCCACAACACTCCTCAGGACCTTACCATTCACTGTCTAAGTCCTATCTTGGTTTGACTTTCCAAAGTGCAACACCTCACACTTATCTGTATTGAATTGCATTTATCAATTCTCAGCCCATTTCCCCATCTGATCAAGATCCCTCTGTAATTTTTGATAACCTTCCTCACTAACAATCATGCCTCCTAATTTTGTATCATCTGCAAACTTACTAATCATGCCTTGTACATTCATATCCAGATCATTTATGTAAATAACAAAGGTCCCTACACCAGCCTCTGTGGCAAACCAGTGGTCACAGGCCTCCAGTCCGAGAAATAACCTTCAACTGTCACCCTCTGCTTCCTACCATATAGCCAATGTTGAATCCAATTAGGTAGCTCTCTCTGGATCCCATGCATCCTAACTTTCATGACTAGCCTCTGTGCAGGACCTTGTAAAAGGCCTTACTAAAGTCCGTATAGACAACATCCACTGCCCTACCCTCATCTATCCTCTTTGTTACCACTTCAAAAAACTCTAAAAGATTTGTTAGACATGACTTCCGGGGGACAAATCAATGCTGACTATCCCTAATCAGACCTTGCTTATGCAAATCTGTTGAGACACCAGAGAAATGAAGTTTGAACCCTTGGTCACTAGGCCTGAAACACTGACACTGTTTTCCTTACAAAGATGTTGTCAGACCTGCTGAGTTTCTACAACAATTTCCGTTTTGCTTCAGACTTCCAGCATCTTCATTTTTCTTCTTGTCTAGTATTTCAGCAGAGAAATCATAACGTTGAAAGCAGAAATCCAGCAAAACCCAGAATACAACGCGGGGCAGTGCAACCTAGCTTAACTACACTGGAAGCCCCACCTCATTTCATAACAGTTAGCTAATCACACGAAGAGCGCTTCTAAATTCCTGGCGCTGATTGTGTGAATGAACTGTCAGTCGCCAGTGACATCACAGAGGCTGCCAGCCGGTTTGGTTGCGTGTGCTGAAGGTCATTGGCAGCGCGCGCGGCGGCGGTTGCAGTTGTCGTTGGTGCGGCGGTTGCTGGCGGATTTTCGTGCTCCTTCCCTCAGCACCCCCTGCTGCCCCCCACGACCTGTGCACCATGGCATGCGCCTCCTCGCTCTTCGCCGCGGTACCGCTCGCGTCGCCTGTTGTCGTCTTCAAGTTAACGGCTGACTTCAAAGCGGACACGCACCCTAAGAAGGTCAACTTGGGAGTAGGGGGTAAGTGCGGTGCGGGGGTCGGGAAGGTGCGGGAATCTGGCGCTGCGGGGGTCGGGATGGCCCTGGGATCCAGCGGTGCAGGGATCGGAATGGCCCTGGGGTCCAGCCGCCCGGGGATCGCGATGGTCCTGGTATCCAGCGCTGCGGGGATCTGAACAGCGCTGGGATTCCAGAGGTGCAGGGATCGGGACGGCACTGTGATCTAGCGGCGCAAGGATCGGGACGGCGCTGGGATCCAGCGGCGAAGGGATCGGGACGGCTCTGGGATCCAGCGGTGCTGGGATGGGGATAGCCTTGAGACCCAGCGGGTCGGTTTGGGGATCACACAATGCCGGGAGCTGAGCAGTGCAGGAATCCTGGAAGAGAGACACTGATCCTGGCAGCGGGGAGCCGTCCCTCCATCAGCGAAAACAAACTCAGAACTTCGAAACAAAATCAGAACTTGTTAGGAGAATCCAGTGACCCTTCCGGAGGTCTGAAGAACTGGACCCCGAAACATTAACTGTGTGTTTCTCTCTTCACGGATGCTGTCAGACCGCCTGAGTTTTCCCAGCAACGTTTCTAATTTCCAACCTCAGTAGTTCTTTGGATTTTGTTTTGTGTAGTGTTTAACTCAGGACTAAGCGTCCGTGTGAAAAGTGCAAGAGCCTTAGCCAGGTAGTAAAGGATGTGTATGTGACTGCACCCAATTTTCTTGCCCAAGGTGGAAACAACTCTTACAAGTGGTGGAATTTAAATAGATTACTGAAATCTGGATTTGGAATCTATTCGCAGTAATGGTGACCATTAAAGTAACAGTCCTTCCCATTTATTAATATACTTTCGGGCGGATGAAGGAAATCTGCAGTCCTCACCTTCTATGGTCTATTTGTGACTCCGACTCGCAGCGATGTGGTGCCCTCTGAAATGGCCTTGCAAGGCACTGAATTTGAGGGTGATAGAAATGGACAGCACACACATACCTTGCTAATGACACCCACATCCCACGAAAGAATAGATTTATAGAAAGTGTGACACATGATCTCTTCAGTGTTTCCTTCCACAACTGTTGTTCATCAGGATATTCCCAAATCCTTGACCAGATATTGCTGCAGCTTGGGCAATATCTGGTGTCATGTGTTTGTTTTCTACTTTCTGGCCCTTATCTTACATATTGACATTTCAGTGCTGGTCCCTGGATAAAGTAAGAAAAACATGGTGGCTTTAGTACTCCCCTATCTTATATGAAATTCAAAGAATTTTTATGGCCCTTTGTCTGGGTCTCTGGTATTCTACCAAGGTGCTATCTTTTGGCCCTCTCATACCCAAGCTGTCTTTCCACACAATGCTAGTTGGAGTTGTAATGTGGTCCATTTAAAGCTCTAGGGCATTGAGGGCCATGGTTTCTCACCATATCATTTCTAACCAGGGCATTTCATAAGGTGCAAGAAATATGGTACTAAGTTTTATAGAAGAAAATTAAGTTACTTTGACTTATGTTTCCAGGACAATAGCAGCTCAAAGCTGTGTCGGTAGCCTGACCATTTTGATAGCTTATGTGGTCACACTAGTGCCATTTTAAAAGAAGTCTACTGCCAACATGCTTGCTGTTTCAGGTTATAGACCTCTTAAGCCAGAAACTGCAGTCCATTGACGTAAGCTGGGTCATCGTTGACATTCTAGGTCAGGGTCAGGGCCTGCGCTGCATAGGTACAAATTAGAAAGAGGAGGAAATGTAGTTAAAAGTTAACTGGTCATAGTTAATTACATGAACTAAAGCCACTGGATGGCTTGCTAAGAGTCTACCATTTTAGCCTGAGACTGGAGTCTACTATAAGACAGTTTGGATACATGTTTAAGCCAATCCGGTGGCTTCAAAGGTTGACTGATGGTATCAAGCTTATTCTGTTTTCGGTTCTATAAAAGAAAAGCATTAATTTTGAAATCTAAAAATGCCACTCTGGGATTTGAACTTTTTTTTTGGATTATTAGTCCAGGACTCTGGATTACTATAAATTACTACAGTAATCTTTTGAAATTATTTCTCTGCTACTAAATTTCTCTACACCCTCCCTCGACCATAGATTTCTTCCTAAGATACAGTTTCATAGGCTGGACCACATATTCAAACCATGGGCTGTAACCTGTTGGTAAAGGTTTGCTTTTGTACTGTTTATTGAAGTTTGAGATTGGGAAGAGAACCTTATTTTTTGCTGTTGTCAATATTTGTTTTTTTACCAAAAGGGCAATCAAAATTTGAAACTCAGAAATGCACCAGGAGAGGCTAAAAGAGAAAGAACAGGCCTATATCCGTGAGAGGGGGAGGGATTAGTTCTCTGATTGGAACTGTTAACCTGGTCCACTCAGTCCTGGCTGACAGGAATGTCAGAGGTTCTGTTCACTCTGACAGCTGGCTCTGAGGAAGCCAGACCGGTATCATGGTATCTTTGGTGTCCTTGCATTTGTGGATAGAGTTTGTGACAGTATCTTATTTCTGTTTCTAACCAGCTTTTAGCCTGCGTGTGTAGTCATGTTGACCAGTTAGTCTGGTTTTTGAAGGTAATAAATATCCAGTTTAATTTCAATGCATGCCATAAGACAACATAAACATCTGGCACCATTTAGGTGTATGATTTTCTAAGTGCTGTGTATTAATAATGAGTTCTAAAAGTTATGACTGATGTTTGTCAAACTTGTAGTTCTGTTTTCTCTCTTTCCTATTTTCTTGCAGTATAGTGTTTAGACAGTGTATTCATATTGTTGTTGATATGAACATCAGTTCACTGCCCATCTTCTCAAACACCAAGTACATTTTTTGCCACTTGCAGTGAACAATTGCTTTAGTTATTTGTGTTCTGACATTTAAAGCTTCAAACCTAATGTCAAACTCAACTTATTCCTGTATACTGCAACTGTTTGCGTTTAAATTACATCAGTAAAATTTCTGGAATTTTAATCAATAAATCATGACACATAGGTGGTATTGGGTCAGATGACCAGAATTTTGGTTAGAGAGGCAAAGGGGTTTAATATTATTGCTTCTGAGAGTTTGGATTATATGTAGCAGAAGGCATGGTTGCCAGTCGTGGAGTGAGGAAAATCAGGGATGTAGAAGAGGTCAGAATTGAGGTTAATATCGTTGGTTACTGGTGCAGTAACACAAACGTAAATCAGCAGTGGGGGGGAGTTATGAGGCAATATTACCACACATTACAAGTTAAAATTAATCAAACTGATAAAACTAGTAAACAAATTTCAGTGATATGATCTTTTAGAGGAAGCAAATGCAAAGATTTGGGGTGGAATTGTGCTCTAGATGTTTTTAATTGGCCTGATACACTTCTGGAGCAGATGGAACTTGAACTGGGGCTGCATGGCCCAGAAGTAGGGATGCTAGTACTGTGCCACAAGACCCTCAGGAATTATGATGTAATGTTAACATGCAATGGTTGTTCAAGTTTTTGTGTTTTATTCTTGGTTGAACAGATTACACCACTACAACAGTGATTTAGAGCTATATCGTGGAATAACAGAACCCAAAGTCACCTGCAGCTTATTATCCCTCTACCCCAAGCACCTTGTTCTCCACAATGTGAGACACATAAGGAGTGTCCTGTCAGTGGCCCATCCATCAGGTCTTCCCCACATTCATGATGGGTACTGAAATAACTCCACAGAGGCCAGTATCCCGTCACCAAGTCACCCTTTATTTACACGAGCATAGTACATGATACCGGTCTGGCTTCCTCAGAGCCAGCTGTCAGAGTGAACAGAACCTCTGACATTCCTGTCAGCCAGGACTGAGTGGACCAGGTTAACAGTTCCAATCAGAGAACTAATCCCTCCCCCTCTCACGGATATAGGCCTGTTCTTTCTCTTTTAGCCTCTCCTGGTGCATTTTCGGACAAGGTTTTGTTCCTCCGACTTAGCCTTAGATACGGGTGGCCATAGCCTGCCTCTTGTACCCAGAGCGTCTCGGAAGAAATTCATGCACTTCTTCAGGCAGTAAAGGCATTGAGGCTGCGACCTCTGCCATGCCCATCTCAGACTCCAAGGTTTCTTGGAAGCTAAACGGAGGGGGAGAACCCATGGGTTCCGACAGCCTTTCTGGCTGTTCCGAGGGCTTGGCTATGTTTTGCTTCTGCCCCATTTGCAAGTTTGCAGCTTTCATATGGTCCACATGCTTGTGCAGGACTGCCTTAGCTACCTGAACTTTGTACGTCATGGGATCTGATCTCGTGTTGACCAAGTCTCTTACCCACGGAGGGGCCATTTCCATGGTTTCGCACCAAACTTCCTCCCCTGAAGCAAAGCACTTCTCTTGCTTGGTCTGATGTCTGGCAATAGTGTTCCTGATGCCATTACACACACATGCACACCATCTCTGCTGTTGCATGAGGGGTGGTCCTATAAATAAATAGGCACCGGGATAATTAGGCATCTTGGATGGATTGTATTGAGCTGTCTGTATATATCACATGCCATTCAACTTTAGGATAGACCCGAATTCCCTCTGGTAAATGATGGTGTGTTGTCTATGACCAACACTTCTGGGATCCCATGTATTGCAAAAGATGCTTGTCCCTGTCTTTGACGAATGAACTCTACGTGCATCGAACCACTTTGAGTGGGCGTCCATAATGACCAAGAACATTGACCACATGAAAGGGCCTGTATAGTAAGCGAGTCCATGATTTATTCAGCCATTCCCACAAATGTGGGGAAGCTGCTGGCAGTAATTTTTTTCCTTGTTAGCACTCTGAATACTGCCCCACCATTGTGGCTGTGTCTGCATCCAGTCCTGACCACCTGTTATAATGTCTCCCCAACATCTTAATTTGGACATCCCTGGATGACCCTGGTGGAGATCAGTCAGTATCTGTCAGTGACCTTTGCTCGGGACAATTACTCTTACTCCCCATAGTAAAGTGCCGTCCTGTACGTTGATCTGGTCTTGTCACTTCAGAAAGATTTCATTTCTGGTTGTGATGGCCCTATTGTTTCTTCCATCACCACAGGCT